TTGTGTTATATAAGCTTTCTTAGGAGTGTTATCAATAATAAAGTGTATAATTCTATTCTGGTCTGATAAAATTTTCTTAGTGCTTATATATCTTTTTCTTTATTATTAGGGTAATATGTTTTTTGTGTTGTTGAGTATTAAAATAATAAATTATTTATACGTCGATTTATTTTATTTTTGTGAAAGGGATTTATAATTAAAACTTTTATTTAACGCATAAATTGATTTCAATAGATATAGAATTAAAATTAACTACTTATATTTTTATTTTAAGTATATATTCCTTTAAAATTTTTAAAGACATCTACATTCTTACTTACATAACAAATTTTCATATGCTCCTATATTCATTCTTATACGAAACATTAGTTTTATTTGGTGAATAATTAAATTATTAAAATGGAAATAGAATTAAAGAAATCAATAATATAATAAATAAGTGATCAAAAAAACTTATGGAAATTTTTTATTTAAAACTAAAAATGCATTAAGTATGCACGACACACATATTTCATATAAAATAATAATATACAAGTGAAGTCCATAACTTCTCATTACATTATTTTAATATTTCACTTCAAACATTTGTGTTTAATTAAATAGACAAAAATCATTACTAATTTTTTACATTCTTTGTAAGAGAATACTGCACTTTTGTTTGAAAAATAATGGCGTATTAGCGTTTTCGTCGCTATAACATTTATTGCTACAACCGACGTGTTAATATAGCCTTATAAAGAAAAAATAGACAATATCTGGGTAAGATTACCATAAAAAAATTAAAAAATGTAGATGTATATGTTAAAAACTATTTCAATAACATAATACACATACATAGTGAGGAATTATTTTTATGCTTTGTTGGGCAGAATTAATACATTTTTTATTGTGTTTATAAATAACAAAATAGAAATAAAAGTTCAACTTAATTTTACACACATATTGTGAAAACAACATTCTAATTCATATAAGTATTCATTATGGGCATAATTTGGTTCTAAAAAAATTTGTGAAATGTATGGTTGGTTATATATCCATGCAGCTAAGACAATTAGTAAGATCCATGTTTGTTATATTTTATTGTTTAATAGAGATAACAATTTTGCACGTTCTATTTCAACGAAACATTAATAAAAGAGAAGAACACATTTTTTACTTTTTTTTTAAAACAAAGTACATATAAACTTTCACTTTTATTTGAAAAAGAAATAATTGAAATATACAAAAAAAGTAAAGTTCAAGATACTTTTATATAAATACAGCAGATAAAGTTCCCTTTTATAATTGTTATAGATGTGAGATCTTGTAACATTGTACTTTGGAATTTATTTTTTTTTTTTAAATGATTGATCACAAACGTTTAGATTATATGTACATGGAAAAATATTAATCATAACATGTTTATTTATTACATGTTAAAAAATGAATACTGTAAGAAAATATTTTTTTCTGCCGCATAAAAATTTAATTATTTCGAAATTCTACACATTGATATGTAATGGTATATAATAGCAGAAAAATTTTATGATATTTTATTACACACTATATATTTTTTATACATTAAATTAAATCTACTATCGCAAATTATGTTTATTAATTCACACAACTTTAATGACATTACCAATTTTTAAAATTTGTAATTTTAAGAATGTAAAAGTAAATAAATGATATGAATAACTATCGAAGAAAGCGAAATAGAAGAATGAAATAAATTACACTTTTCTAGTGAACAATCAAGATATTATCTACTTATTATAAGCAATAAATTATTATATGGTATATCGATATTTGATTTCTAAGAAGATACTTAGCAATGATATGAACATACCGTGATTTTAACTGTGTGCAAATAAAAATTATTTTTTTTTATTACTCATTATTAATAGGCTTGTAAGATATTCTTTTAAACTTACATTATGAAGAACACCAATTTCACTTATATATTTATAAATAATTGAAAGTATTCACGTTTCATGATGGTAACAGAACCATAGAATACTTCTATGTTAAATAAATAGGTTTTCACGTATAGATAATTTCTCGAATTTTGTAATTAATTTATTTTCATGAGTTAAAATAGGATACCATCGTTAAATAGGATTATTTATCATATGTACACTTTTGATATGAAAATACACAATTTTGGGAACAATTTCCATAAATTTATGAAAAGAGGATAACATCTTTTTTAAGAATAATTTTAAAATTTATATAACACTACTTGTTTTTTCCTCGTATTTAAAGCAGTGAAATGTTATGATATTTACCTATAACAGATATAATGAATTTTATAAATTGTATATTAAGAATGCTAATAATAAATGCTGTAATAGTATAGAAAGCATTAACGAAGAAGACATAATCCTTTGTAATAATATTGCAAACAATTTAAAAAAATTGTTTGTCAAACAATAAAAAGAACGATTATATGTGCGCTATTACTCTTCCGACTGCTTCCATAATCATTTTGTGAAAGAGGATTAAAAGGTATGTGATTTATATAATAGGCATATGAGGGATAAAACATGTGACCTTGTAGAATTATTAATTAAAATACAATGTAAATTGGAATCATATATATTTAGTAAATTAAGTAACCCATAAAATTGGGAATAATAGAAATATTTACATGATACTTTTTTATATTATAAATATATGAAAAGTAATAATTGTGATAAAAAAGAGATGAAAAGGTATTTAAAAAACTTATATTAATCCGATTTATATGAATTGTGATTATGAATATTGATCTTGTGACTATGTATCTATTCAATTATATTTCAAACTTTACTATTGGTGAAACATGTGAATGAAGTGCTATATGGAGCGTTTTATTGTCATTTAATAAGTTATAGGTAGATAAAGTTAAAGAAGATAAGGTAATAGGATAAGAAAGACGTGAGTTAGGTTGTATTGTGCTTCAAAAATTTAGTAGTAACATGAGAATAATAAAGCTACTCATAGCATATTCTATATCAAACATAATGTATCATGTGAAGTAATTTAACTTTCTTCCAATAATATAGAAGCAAATTATACTATATAAAATTAATATCTTTTTAATGGTTTTATCGTACATTATTTAATATTAGGAACAATGATGTTGTTGAAGATTTATTATAGTGTATATACGGATTATAATTAAATATATAAATATTTTATAATGAAATTTATAATTTTTACATGTATATATTTATTAAATAATAATATTCTCCACTATTTAAATATTATTATTATACTACATCTGGATAAACGTCATATACGATAAGAATAAAGAAGAAAAATTAACCCCAAATCAAAATGAGATAATCGAAAGGGAAATATAAGAATATATATCATAATCTATATTTACATATTATCACATTAGACAATTGTTTTTGACATGTCATTCTGTACAAAACATTTTCCTATAATTAAGCAATAATAAAATATTATTTAAGAGATTTTTATGAAGTAACATACTATTATAGTTGTGTGATAAGCGCAATGAGAAAAAAAATATGGAAAAATAATGAAATATAGGCATTAAAAAAACATTATTTAAATATTATACATTATGCAAATAAATATTTATTTCTATGAACAATTCATGAATGTATAGAACGAAGAAGAAGATTATCGTAATAAATGTAATTAATGCTACGATAGTATTGATGATAATTAGAACAATATATAAATTATGAGCCATTGATGAGTGTATTATAAATTAATGAGCGCACAAATGTGTATTATAGTTTAAAAAACAAAATATATTCTAAAATTATAAGGGAAAGTGGTGCACTTAATGTAAATTAGAGTTAAATTAGACATGTAGCGTAACAAAATAATAAAATATCATAATTATATACTAGGAATTTATAATAATTTTGACACAATTGGTAAACAAGAAAAGAAATATAAATTAATATTAACTAATATATTGTGATGCATGTAATGATGCTTTTACAAATAATATGTATAGAGAAATGTATTATAAAATATATATTCTAATTAGGGGACGTTGCTTTAAGTTAATTTAATGAATATAAAGGAAAAATATATAAAATCGTATAATATTCGGTTTCTATGTTTTATAACTATATGTGAAATAATGTAAATATATAAGATAATGGCTATCACATGAATTTGTAATATATTTGATTCATTAATTTAAGAAATATATATAATTTTATTTTACACCTAATGTTAAATTTAAAAGAATTAATATATGTTTATATTTTTACTTTTTTCATTGCTAATGCGTGTACATTAAAATTTATAATAATATTATATAGTTATAATAACTTTAGACATAAATTATAATACACAAAAAGGAATAAATTAGATCAAAAAAAAGAAATACAATAAAAAAAGAAAATGCAAAAAATAAATTATTTTTTGTAATTCCTGTTCTTTGGTATACGAATATTCTTATATAGAATAAAATTTCACACATTAATATCATATATGGTTTCAAATACAATATCACTAATATTGAAAAATATTAGAAAGGAATAATGAAATCTATAATTAAAAGTTAATTATGAATATGTATACATAATAATTGAGAACTTCTTTTAATAATATTATATTGCTATATGTCATAATATATTTAGAAGTGACTTGTATTGTATTCATTTTTTATAAAAATTTGTACGTGTCATAATGCTTATTGTATTAGTCAATGTAATGTATTAGTATTCTATCTATAAAACATTAAATTATAACCTAATAAGATATTATATATGAAAAACCTTGCGTATTAAAAAAGGTACTAAATTTGTTTGTACTACTTTTATTTACTATTTATATGTCTAAATATTATTATTTTAATAATTATTATTATGAAACACTATTTATTATATGGATAATAATTTACATGAATTTTTTTTATTATATTATAAGAATTATTTGGCTTTTAAGTAAATTCTTGAGAGATGAACGTATTATGCAATTTACAAAAATACTTTTATAAATTTTTTAAAATGCATTTTCTTCGAATTATATATATATTAGTAATATTAGGATTCATTGTACAGCATATCATAGATCCCACTGTTGAGAATATTTATGGGTACTTCGGTTCGTTTAGATATATTCCATATATTAGAAATATTATCCAGCTTTTTTCTTATCCTTTTTATTCTATGGCGCAAAAATAAACCATATGAAGTATACTAATACACGTAAAAAAAATTAGGAATAAATTATATAATTTTAATAAGAAGAATGCCTTTTGTTCAAGCTATTAGGAAACACAATTTAATATTATCTATAAATACCAGAAATATCATAATTTACCTTAAACACAAATAACAAAAAAAACAATATTAGTAACGTCACTATTATTGTAGCTGCAATAGTATTTACAATATTTGATCGACAAGAACATGCTATTTCTTGTGTATTATTTTCTACAGGGGATGATATTTGTAATTTAGCATGCTCACAAACTTTATTCACTGATTGTTTTTGATTTTCTTCTATAATATTTTTTAAAGCATTGCAATATTTTCTCTGATTCTCAGATACATCTTGTTCATTTATTTTTTTAATACATTTATAGGATTTATATATAGCTGTGAGTTCTTCCAATTGTTCAAATGTTACTTCTTCCTCGTAATCAGAACAATACTTCTGCATTCCATTATGCAAGGGATAATCACTCATCATTTTTTCGTAAACCTCTTTTGTATAGCTAGTATAAATACTTTTTTTAAGATAATCATATAACCAATAAATATAGTATCTACATCCTGCTTTTTTATATTCTGCATATTCTTTATTAATATTTATATCATATAAATATGCATGAGCTTGTGGGCATATTTTTTGAATAAATTCGTTTTTAACTTTTTCCTTAAATTTAAAATTTTCCGCAATTGCAGAGCAAAATTTATTATAAGTATTTCCAGAAACATTAAGAAGCTTTTGTATAGTATCTTCACAATAAGGAAATTTATTCATGAATTTATACTAATGTTAAAAGAAAAAATAGTTACATGAAAAAAAATATAAATTGTTAAAAATTTATTATGACTGTGAGAAATGGAATATAAATAATTATATAATTCTGTTATTATTATGATAATATTTCAAACGTACAAGTTCATCTGCCATTTTATACAAGATTTTGTTATACTACAATAGAACCAAATAAATTAATTAAATGTGGAAAGTACAAAAATAGACTTTTGAAATTTAAAAAACATAGTATGAATATGTTTTATGCTCAGATTCCATAAATATATTGAACTAAAGTTAAATTATGCACTATTCTATTCAAATGAATTGTTATTTTGCATAAAATATAATATAAATGCATTTTTGGATATAGACTGATTAATAATTTATTTTAATAAACAAATAAAAAACATAAATGTTTATTTACAATAAAAAGGAAAAATAATATAGAATTATAAAATGTAACAGAAACTAAGATTTGACATATAACAATTATATACTGTTAATAAATCCCCAATAAAGATAACCACAGAGCACAAATATATACAAGTGTTTTTAATATTCTTATAAATATATGTCTATTTTTCTATAATATTGTTTTTATTGTAGTATATATAATTTATAGTAGTAGATATGTAACATTAGAATATATAGGTTTTAGAATTCAATGTTTATTAATTTTATAATACATGCATAATATAATGTAGACACGTGTTAATAGAAATGGGCACATTTTACTGTTATTATTCAACATTTTATAAGGAATATATGAGGATGATTTAATAATTTATTACTTTTACTTTAATTGTATATTCATAACAAAATAATATTATATATATGATGTGGTTAGTTTTAATATATAGCAAAATTTAATTTTGCACATATTAAAGAATTTTTATCCTATCGCACATATCGTTAAGACATATAAACTAAAATTACTCATTATACATTTCACAATTGAAGAATACATTTTAGTTTGTATAAGTTATTATTTGAAATATAAAATAAGATATAATATAATTCTTATATACTCAAACGTATTACGTGTATTATATCAGAATATGAGGAAGAAAATATAATATGTTCTCATGCATTATAACAATTTATATTTTGATAACATGAAACTTATATTAATATAATAATATAAGTATGTTTATATATATATTTCTTTACATTTATATATATATTATAGTTTCATTTATTCTACAATATGTGGTTTTTTATGAACAATTTTTAAAAAAAAATTATTTATACATTTCTTTAAATATATAATATTATCTGGAATTATTAATATTATAACATATTAATATATTGCTGTATATAAATAACAATTATGGATACAACATATTTTATAAACCTATAGCATAATAATAAAAACTTATGCCATGTGTTTAGTATCAAATATTTTAGAGCATGGATTTTAATTTTTGCGCGCTAGTTTCATTTGTCCAGGGCCCATTTATAAACGGATATATAAGATCGATATTTACATAATTCTGTACATTATATATATAATTTTTATTTTGAAATATATATATGTAACATATTATGTGTTAATTTATTAGACTTTTTTTAATATTTGGCGTGATATTACTAAATAGGCATTATGAGTTTACTTGTTTCTTAATGGAATATATATACTGCAAATTATTTAATAATATCATGTAATACATAATGTTGGCCTCAATAAAAATTTTGGGTTATAAATAGATATTTAAAAATTTTTTGTATTAAAATTTCACGTTAATATTCTCACATTTTATATTAGGAATAAATATTTAATAATTCGTACACCCTGTTATAAGTGTTTTACCAATCAAATTTTTATATATATATCCCTTAATACATTACTTATATACATTAATTTTTTTTTTATATATTGATTATTAATTTTATATATTTTTTTTATGGGTTACATATTTTTATTGTACTAAATATACATTCATACACCTATTATATAAAATGGTTCGAAA